CCCCCACCGTCCCAGCAGTACAATTATGCGCAGCGGCCGGGAAGCAAATGCTTACTGACCATTTACACACAGCCTCGCTAACCTTCTATCTGTAAAGCGAACTGATCAACAGAACAGTCCTCGTCGCTGCGGCCGGCGCTCGCGAGAGATGCAACGAAGAATGCGTCGATTAATCAGGCAAACGACAACAACCGACTCGCTGTTGATACGAAATGTAACACGTTCCGTTCGCAACAATACAATGTGCTGCGCGCGACCCATGTCAATACATTCTGTCCGAGCTATGTATCCATCTAACCGCACCACCACGCATCCATTTATCGATCGATCGAATCCATACCACGCCACTAGCCAATCATCCTAACCATCACATCCATCATGCCCATAACCATGACCATGCATCAGCCCCCCATCCCGCAGTCCATCCCCAATCCGGCCCATCCATCCATCGACGGCCATGGCCATGCCATCCCAATGCCACCTCCATCCCATCCATCCAATCCATCCATGACCATACCATTCTCATGCCATCCATCATATCCGATCATGCCCATTCCATCCATCCATCGCATCCAATGCCAAATTCCATTCCATGCCATCGCCATCTATGACATCCATCCATCCATCCATACCATCCATCCATCCAGTACTCATCCAGCCAATTCCATCCATCGTCATCAATCATCCATCCCATCCATTCCATCGACATCCATTCCAGCCATCCACCATCCAATGCCATCCATCAACCATCCATACCATCCATCCATTCCATCCATCATACCATACCATCCATCCGATACCATCCATCCCATCCATCCATCCATCCATCATTCCATCCAATCTATCGACCACTAATCCATCTATCTGTTAAGGCTGCTTGCATATTAGGATTTTCTCGCTCACTGACATCGCGCTCATCACAAGCTGCTGGCAGCGTACCATACAAATGAGGCGTGGCTCGCTCCAACGTCGATAGAGTATCGACCACACCAAATGACATAACAGGTCGCTGAATAAATCAGAAGCATCGAGCAATTATATCCCTCCTTATATACGCTCCTTCCCTCCCGCACTCCTCCCCCCTCTCCTATTTCCTTTCCTAACGACGCCCTTCCTCACGCGCTAGACCTCTGCATACACCATATCTCTCCGTCTTTCTCAGCAGCCGGAGCGCGTGAACGAAGATAAGAAGCATCTTTACCGCCAACAACTGGTTTTAAATCTATCCATTTTAACTGCGTCTAAAAATACACCAAAGCTTATAAACGTCGTCATAAAGTTCCAAGACACACTACAACTATGGATTGGCCATCACGTAAAATGTTATAAACAACGCCACGCATGGTGAGCTAAATGTAGTTATCAGTAAATGGTAAATGATAGTTACCACGAAAAAAATGTTAAAGTAAGCCAGACAAGACGTTCGTTCTAAAAATTTACATGCGACATAAGCACAGCCGACTGCCTAGTCGCAAAATCTAAGTCTAAGAAAAGTTGTTGTATAATAACGAAACCAAACCGTTTTCAAAACCTCAAATTAGAAAACTCATTTAGAAATAAAAACCTCTATGCGCTAACTTACATTTCTTAAGAGATATGCCAAATTAAAAATATTTGGCTTTAATTTCCGTACTATAAGTTACGCCTGCATTAATAAGCAGAACAGAGGATCAGAGCCAGGCATAAACCAAGTGTGTCATATTGTTTGATAACCAACACAAAAGTGATGGAAAGCATAGGGCTTTGCCAATGTAAAGCATCAGAAAACCGTAAAAAGGTTCGAAGAGGAAGATATTGTTTGGTTCTATCTAGATCAAAATATTTTTATGCACAAAATGCGATACAGAGAGACCGTGAGTAGCCTACGATTGTTGGATTTACGGTGAAAGCAGATTTAATGTAAGTTGCGCCGAGAGTAATTACCCCCCCGTACACAACTGGACGGCAAACCATCCGCGACCGTACGCGACCAGAAAATGTACAAGGTCGCCGGCAAAACGCGAACACAGAATCGCGAGAAAAAGGTCCCAACAAATTACAAAAACTTGAAAAAAACCGCCAGTCTTACCATACCGCGACCTGTGGCGATCGACCGCGTCTCAGCGGCGCGCCCGCCCACGAACCATCTCCGCGCTATATGGCGTCTTCTATTGAGATCTAAGGACTTGCAACGGCGATCACACGGCGTTCCCCGCGTGCGGCGGCTCTCGACCACGCTCTGATGAGTTCTTAACCGCGCGTCTTCTACGTGTAATCGCGACTGCACGGCGGACTCGAACGGTCGTGTTCTACTCCCCGTTCTCACGGCGACTATATAACGTGGTCAGATTTGCGGAAATTTTAACTGTATAGTTATGTGGCGTTTTCGAGTAGAAACACGAATGCCGAGAGAAACAAAGACTACCAGAAGGCCTGAGGCCGTGGAGACAGATCGGCAGGAAACAGATCGCATGAGACAGATCCATGAATTCGCCGTTGAAAATGTGCCATTTCGCAGCGATCCTATTGCCACGCGTAGTACTGCGCGTGTACATAACGTTTATGGAGATGTTACGACGCTGTCCTCACGACCATTCATGGACGCCCACGCGTTCATCAGCGCGTCGCAGGATCAGATCGCCGAACTTGGCATTTGTTTGAACATAGCTCGAAACAAACGCCGTGACATCGCGATGCATTGGCGACCATGGGCGACCCACACACACGATGTCCTAGGCGTTACCAACCACGCTTATGCCACCTTATGGCAGATCCTGGCGCGCTCTGGGCCATTTATCCGTCGCCAGTATGCAGCGCAGGACTAAGGACGCCAACCCCGGTGTGACGGGGTATAATGGTGTCAAGCATCACTGTGCATATCATACTCTCATATCTCAGCAGCATCGCCCCGTGCATGCTTCGCAACGTCACAGCGGCCTAATTCACGTGCGCACTGCACCGCCATCGTTGCATGCTTAACAATTCTAATACACACTCTCTCTGCTCCACTTTCTCGGTCTTTCTCGCCGTCTCTCTCGTCTCTCTCAAGAGGTCATCTCTCTCTCTCGTCTATTCTCAAATCAAACTCTCTTTCTGCTCTCTCTACAATCTCAGCTCTCTCTCTCACATCTCCCTCCTCATCTCACCGCTCTCTCATCTCATCTATAATATATATAGATATACATAATATACACATAGTGCTTTAAATTACTCATCCTCTGCGCCGCCGCGCGCCCTCTCATCCTCTCATCTCTCCCTCTCGTATAGTATAGTATATAAACATATATATATCCATAAATGCCTCTTCGCTCTTTCTCGGCTCTCATCCATGTTTTAAAAGAAATGGGAATTCACATTCGGTGTGAGGAGCCGATGCCAGAAGGTCAGCGATGTGGAGGAAGAATGCGTGCAGGAGAGGAGGAAGAGAAGGAGAGGATGCGGAGATCAGGAGGATGCCTGGAGAGATGCGGAGATGCTGGAGGATGGCTGAGGATGCTGGAGGAGGAGGAGGAGAGAGAGGAGATCTGGAGTTGCTGGAGGATGCTGAGGATTCATATTATAATGCAGGGATGCTGGAGGAGGAAAGAAGGAGACTGCTGGAGGAGGCTAGCGATGCTGAGGATGCTGGAGACTGCTGAGATGCTAGAAGGATGCTGGAGAGGAGGAGGATGCTGGAGGATGCTGGAGGATGCGTGCAGCGCTAGCTGGTGTTGCCTCGGCATGTTCTCCGCTCATGCTTTCTACACTCACACTTCCACTCAGATTTGTTGCGCTCACATTTCTCCGCGACAGCTTTGTATACACTCTCATATACACACGGCCACCAGCGGCGCGTGCGAGCGTGTGTGTCTGTGCGTGCGTGTATGTGGTAGCGTGGGTGCGCGTGCTAGCGTGCATACATGCGGGCGCACAGACACTTGGGACAGAGTCAGTAAAAACTAGGAAAATAATAGGATAACACATTAACAAATAGGCCCTACTACCGTACCTCTCTGTTACAGTTCCACTGTTGATATGGCTGATGATCTGTGACTCTATATATATATATATTATCAGGAGCGTATAATGACAAATACATTGTCATTATACGCTCCTGATATTATCATAGCGTCACAGCACACTCGCAGCGGCGAGTGCGGGAGCGTTCGGGCGTTAGGTTTTACATAGATTTTTATGAAGGAAAGTTGATATACAGTGACGCAACAGTGGAACTGTAATTGAGAGGTACGGTAGTAGGGCCTATTTGTGAATGTGTGTTCATATTATTTTCCGTTTTTACTGACTCTGTCCCAAGTGCCTGTGTGCGGGCGGGCAGGTGTATGTGCGTACGTGCGTGCGTACGTGCGTACGGACGTTAGTTTGTGCGTGCGCTTCTGCGTGCGCGCGTACGTTCGTTAGTTTGTGCGGGCAGGTGTATGTGCGTGCGTGCGTATGCACGTTCGTTTGCGTGTGCGTGTGTATAATTTCGTATGTACGTTCGTTTATGTGTGTGCGTGTCTGCATGCGTGCCTATGTACCTTAGTTTATGCGTGCGTGTGTGCATGCGTGCGTGCGCATGTACGTTCGTTTGTGTGTGCGTGTGCGCATGCGTGCGTTTGTATGTACGTTCGTTTGTGTATGTGTGTGTGTGCACACGCGCGCGCGTGTGTGTGTGCAGGCCCGTAGCCAGCTTTATAACACACAACACACACACACACACACACCACACACTACACACACATCACATACACAAACACACACACACACCACACACACACAGCTACACACACACACACACAC